CTACAAAATATTAAAAGACAATCAACATTCTTTTGGTTTTGGGGGTTTTTTTTTGTTTGTTTTTTTTACAAGAAACACAGATTTACAAAAGCAGACATTTACCCCTTCAGACTTTCAGCTAAATAAAATCCTTAGATTAATCAATACAACTTTCTCTTTCTCTTAGATGTTTCTCTTGACATGAAACACCAAAGAGAATATTGTGATACGTTAATGGGTCTTTATTTGATTACAATAACAAAGTATAGTTTTACAAGAAGTATGAAAATTGAAAAATACAAGAAAGAAAAACATCAAAGACCTGAAAGAGGTTTTAGATTGATAAAAAAAAAAAACCTTAAGTCATGAGAAAATCTCTTAAATTTACGGTTTCAGGACCTAACTTCTACTAAAGGAATAATAATAAAATTTCAAACTATAGCAGTGTTATATATGGAATAGCACTCGTTGCAATACCAATGTGTGCAGAGTCAAATTCACAGAAGTTTGTTTGGATGCAAAATTTGGTATATCATATCTCAGACTCCTTTTAGTTATACTCTAGGGGGAAAAAATATATAAATGGCTGGTTGGAAACACTTTTACAGCATTTTGTGTCTACCTTTAAGAAATATCGCAGCGATCTAGAAGCAGTAACATAGTAGAAGTGGTAAAGACATGTTGATGTTGGAGAGGAGAAAAGAACAAGTGGAAGCTATGAGGGTTAATAACAACCAATAATGTCACTGCAGGTTTAAGCAATACAACTACAATTTTATAGATTTTATACCCCTATCTGTTATTGACAAAAGGTCTACTTTAATAAAAAAAAAAATAAAACTTTTTAAAATGTTACTGCAAATAACACAAATGTTAGTTTTAAATATACTTATGTGCTTATTCTTAACTGTCTTAGAATTTTTATGAGTAATTCATTGAGAACGTATCTTTATGATGGAAGCAATTTTCAAATTATGACTGACATTAATAATATAATTAATATTGTGATTTTGTTCTTAATATCAATAATTCATCATTATTAAAAATAATTCATATCAAAATCATCAATATGAATAACCATTAGTGTAAGAAGGATAACTACTAAACTGATTGTTGACTTAAAGTCAGTTTTGGTTAATTAAAATTTAATAAAGAAAAACTAATAGTTTTTGGGAAATACCTAATTTGAGTATAGTTTCAGCTAAACCAGTCCTGTCTAACTTTGTAAGTCTTCTTTCGGTTGTTAAACTGCTCAAAAACATCAACTAGAGACACATTACAGTAGGTAACACTAACCTTCTTAAAACTACCCCACTGCCTTATTACTGACTTCTATTCACATAACATGTATGCTCAGAATAAATAACAACCAAGTGGGCCTTGTTCAATAATTTACTCACATTTGAAGGTAACTAGGGGCCTTTTTTTATCCAAGGGTAGTAGTGGAAAAGGGAGCTTAAAATACATCCATATTCGCCTTTTCAGATTTGTAGGGTAGAAAAAGTCTTAAAGCCATTTTTTTTTTTTTCATAAAGTCTGCAGCTATAATAATTGGTCAATCCTGTAATAACAAAACAACATTTTGAACTTGATGGTTGTAATTAAACAAAACAACTTTATCGACGTTCTAACCCATAATGTCTCACCTCATATGGATTATTCAACCATTACTAACATAATAAAATTCACCCATTGAATCCTTTGAATGTCTGGCTTTGTAGGGGAGGAAATATATCACATAACTCCAGCCTGTTTTTTAATACCTGATTACTTTCTGTAACCTGGAGAAAGCTAAAGAAGTTTCTTTTTGTCATTTACATATCCTCAGCTGTACAAAGGCCTCTCTCTTGTGCTCTTTGACAAAAATTACTGGATGCCAAACATGCTCGCTGCAAAACACTACTGCTGTAAGTCAGTATCAGCGCTGGTCAGATACTCTGATAACATTCTCCTCCTCTCAAAATACCCTTATTTAATCTAAAGTGGGGTATTAATGCATCATTTTAGTCTGTGTGGTATATGTGTCTTTGGATGGGATTAGGCACGGGATGGGAGGGGGATATCGAGGATCATAAGGAAGTGCTGAGCTCAGTTTGGCTGCATGCCAGGAGGAGATGTAAGGCCTAAAGCCGAAGAATTTCCATCTCCGACACTGATGCTTAATTATTTCTTCTTTTTTATGGATTGTATCAACAATGCCTGGATTTATTCAATCCAATCTATTCAATTGTCTACATCCTCACAGAATAAAGACCCTCATACTTCACTGAGGGTATAAAGATAACATGAAATTACCTTTAATCTTGAGTTTTTACTTATCATCACCATTATTATTATCAATACCTGCTAAATACAAGATAAAAGAGAGATGTCCCAAATATATATATATATATATATAT